GGAGCAGGAAGGCTGACGTTTCGGGCCTAGACCCTTCTTCAGAAATGTTCAGAGATCTCTTCAGAGATTTCTGAAGACGGGTCTAGGCCTGAAACGTCAGCCTTCCTGCTCCTCTGATGCTGCTTGCCCTGCTGTGTTCATCCAGCTCTACACCTTAACCTAATCAGTTAAATTGATCTTGTTAATTACTGTGTATTTCTTTCTGACATTTACATTATATAAACATTGTCTGTTTCCATTGCACATCTGTGCTAAAGAGTCTTCTCAGCAGCATTCTGAACTCATACATGTTCAAGCTTCACTCCAGTATTTGTGTGTATAACCTTGATTGACTTTTTCTTGAGTAGTACTGTATTTAATTGTCATCCCTGCTGATGTGCTGATATCACAAAAGTCTACAGCACAGAAAAATGCACTTTTGCCCTTTGAATCTGTGCCAGTCAAAAATAGCTATGTAATTATACAAACGCATTTGTCAACACTTGGCCCAGATCCTTGTGTGTCTTGGCATCGCAAGGGTACATCTGAATACTTATAGTCATAGAGATGTACAGCATGAAAACAGACCCGTCAGTCTAACTGTCCAAGACGACCAAATATCCTAAATTAATCCAGTCCCATTTGGCCCATATTCCTCTAAACCCTTCCTAATCATATACCCATCCAGATGCCTTGTAAATGTTGTTATTGTAGCAGCCTCCATGACTTCCTCTGGCAGCTCATTCCACCTATGTACCACCCTCTGCATGAAAAAGTTGCTCATTAGATCCCTTTTAAATCTTTCCCCTCCAACCTTAAACCTATGCCCTCTAGTTTTGGAAACCCCATCCCCGAGAAACGACCTTGGCTATTTACCCTATCCATGCACCTCATGATTTTATAAACTACTACAAGGTCATCCCGCAGCTTCTGACATTTCAGGGAAAGTAGCCCCAGTCTATTCAGCCTCTCCCTATAGCTCAAACCCTCAAATCCTGGCAACATCCTTGTAAATCTTTTCTGAACCCTTTCAAGTTTCACTACATCCTTCCTATAGCAGGGAGACCAGAATTGCACACAGTATTCCAAAAGTGGCTTAATAATGTCCTGCACAGCCACAACATGACCTTCCAAATCCCATACTCAATGCCCTGACCAATAAAGGCAAGCATACCAAATGCCTTCTTCACTATCATGTCTACTTGCGACTCCACTTTGAAGGAACTATGAACCTGCACGCCAAGGTTTCTTTGTTCAGCAACATTCCCCAGGACTTTACCATTAAGTGTATAAGTCCTGCCCTGATATGACTTTTCAAAGTGCAGCATCTCTCATTTACCTAAATTAAACTCCACCTGCCACTCCTCGGCCCATTGGCCCATCTGATCAAGATCCCGTTGTACTTTGAGGTAACCTTCTTCGCTGTCCACTACACCTCCAATTTTGGTGTCAATTGCAAACTTACTAACCATACCTCCTATGTTCATATCCAAATCATTTATATAAATGACGAAAAGCAGCAAACCCAGCATCAATTCTAATGGTGCACTGCTAATCACAGGCCTCCAGTCTGAAAAGCAACCCTCCACCACCACCCTCTGTCTTCTACCTTCCAGGCAGTTCTGTTTCCAAATGGCTAGCTCTCCCTGTATTTCATGTGATCTAACCTTGCTAGCCAGTCTACCATGAGGAACTTTGTTGAATGCCTTTCTGAAGTCCATATAGATCACATCCACTGCTCTACTCTCATCAATCTTTTGTTCCTTCTTCAAAAAACTCAATTAAGGTAGTCAGACACTATTTCCCACACACAAAGCCATGTTGACTATCCCTAATCAGTCCTTGCCTTTCCAAATACATGTAAATCCGGTCCTTCGGGATTCCCTGCAACAATTTACCGATCAACAATTCTTAAATTTTATGAGTTTCTGGTGTTGACTCCTTGCAGTTTTGATTCAGCTAATCTTTAACCTACCTTAATCGAGCACTGTCTGACAAAAAAGTAGAGTTCTGTGTTGGCTTCATCAACATTCCTTTCAAGTCAATGACTGAAATACCTAAGGCTAGATCTACAGCAGAGAATCTTCGGCTCTCCCTATCTTGGCTCCAAAAGTCTCTATTATTTTTCATGCATTAAACTATTTGTTGAATCTTGCAAAATTAGCTGCAATATTTGCGGTTTTACTCGCTGCAATATGATGCATTTTGAAATGCTCTGAAAGACACAGCGAGATGTTTATAAAATGCCACTTTTTGTTTGTCCCACCATGATACTGCACAGAAGGTGTGACAGAAGAGGGAGGGTAAGTATTCAACTCATTATACCTGTGCCAGTTCTTTGAGCAATCCAATTTAACCCACTGCTTAGCTCTCACCCTTTGGCCCTGTTAAATTTCTTTTTCAAGTGTCCAAATCCTCTGGAACCACATACTCCTTGCTAACTGTGTGTACAGTGTTTGCGTAATATCAATCTGAGCACAAGTAAAGCAGATTATGACTGAGTTGTCTCAAAAACTAATTGGTTCTATCAATTCAATATGTTATTTTGAACTTACTGGTCATCTCCTGGATATTTTGCCTCTCACTGACAGAAATATGTTGTTCTTTCAACTGGTGATCTATCACATTCATCTCCTGTTTCAGCTGTGTAATCTGCTTCTCCAGCTCTTTGATAGCATCCTGTTTCTTTTTGAGAACCTTGCTGTGGAACTAAGCACAAAGCAATTCATAAAGTCAAACAGTTATCAAATTTCTCCTTGGGGATAATTTTGCTAAAGTGACAAGGGTTGAGCATATATGTTTGTTGAGAATACATACGGAATAATCATCTTGTGTGGATTGATAGCCATTTAGCCCCCTAATTGTATGTCAGTGTTTTTGTTCTGTTTGAGCCTCCCCTTGCTCTGCTTTCACTCACCTTTCATTAAATTTTATTTCCATCTCCCTCACACTTATCTTGCTTTCTTAAATGCATCTCTTGTAATCATTTCCACATTCTCACCACTCTCTGGTAAGGACCTCTCTGATTTCCCTAACAAAAATAGAAATTGCTGGAGAAACTCAGCAGGTCTGACAGTCTCATTGGAGAGAAAACAAACTTAAAATTTTGAGTCCAGTGAGCCTTCTTCACTGAACTGCCACGTCTGCTAAGTTTCTTCAGCAGTTTGAGTTTTTATTTCCAAATTTCCAGCAAGTACATTTATTTGTTTTATCTCAGAATTCCTTGTTAGACTTATTTGCGATCATCTTATTTTCGGTCCTTTGTTTTGGATTCAACTACAAGTAGAAACACCTTTTGGTGCATAAAACCTTTGTAACCTTTAAAGAGCTCATCAGGTCAATCTGATTTCTCCTGCAAGATATGACCTCTTCTAGTATCAGATTCAAGTGAATGCATTTCATTCAAAAACAATGAAAATTAAGCTGGTGAGATCCTGGGAAACTTGTTCATTTATGGGCTTTGCTTTTGTACCTCCATTGCTTCTTCTAATTGAGTAGCATCGTTTGAAGTTATTCTCTTAACCACCCAACCACAGGGAACTTTCAGGGTTTAGGAATTAGTGTTCACACCCCTGAGACTGCATAAAGTATATTTAATTGATATCAATTACCTTCTCCTGACCTTGAACTGAACGTTCCATTCCCATAATGTGTGCAATGATTTGAGACTCATAATTCGCCTCCCTTAGATACTAGGAAAGAACAATACAGTGTTAGTCGTGAAAAGGAAAAACACCCATTGTCATCACTTATACCTGCTTTTTGTTGCAAGAGAATGGTTGTGCTTTCTCAGATAGAACTTACATTTTCTCCCTTGCCTCCTTGGTCTTTCCCCTTAAAAGCAATGCTGAGAGAGGGCCCCACATCCAGACACCCAAGTGAGACTAGGCAGCTCAAGGAGAATTTTTCCTGGCAGGTCAGATTGAATTCTGATATTCAGGGGTCACCCTCTCAGGAGAATTTTTTTCCTTTTCCCCTGGGTTCCCTGTCAGGAAAGCTTCCCTGTTCCCCTCGGGTTCTCATCAAGAGGTTTTCCCCATTCCCAGAGTTTCTCCATGTCTCAGGCCGGTCAGTTTCATCGGGATGGTGTTAGCCCTTACCATCTGTGCCTGTTTGCTGATCTTCAATTTCAGGATGTCTCGGATCTTGTTATGCAAGTCATCCATTTGCATTAGCATCTTCTGGCATTCCCACTCCACCTGAACAATTTTTTTCCTGAAGTCCTTGCGTTCCACCATACTGGCCACTTTCTTTTCTCCTAATAACTGGATACCAGTGAATAAACAGTGATCATACATCAATTCTAGCAAAGACATTTAGCTAGATTACAAATGAGAATGCCCCTAATCCGTCTCATTGCATCTTTCCCTCCCAGCACAGCTCACTTCCCACTTTTGTTGCCCCACTCTTACTGGAAGCCTATTCCTCTTGACATTCTAGTTAAATCACCCATTAAATCAGAATCATCCTCTGAGATATCTCTTCTTTATCCCTTTGTTGTAGGCATCTAAGTTATGTCTGATTTCTTACTCTCATTGAAATTCATGCTTTTTAAAATGCCACATCCATTTTTTTCTTTGATTCTGTTCTGACTCAAGGTTTCATTAGTTTTCTAACTGAACCATAGCTAATTCTAGCTGTGACATTTCAATTTTCCCTCCTAATTTCCTATATGCTGAATAATCATTTAAAGCATCTCATCCTTCTAAGATCCTGTTTTTATTTCTACGTTCAACTTATCTGCTGACTCTCAGTTTAGCCTTAGACAAGGCTTTCAAATAATCTACCATGATGTCTTCTATTCCCAGAAATGTATTTGCAACATACAAAGCCATTCTGAAAGCCCAATCCATGCATAAACTTCACCACAATATTCTGTTTTATATCCAGACCCTCCACATACCTCTCTTTGAAAGAGACACAGATCTCTCAAACAAAATGAATTCTGATTCAGGATGACTCCAGCATTCTGTGTCAACACCAATTTTTTTTTATTTTGGACTGTGAGCTTAAAAATGTGAGCAAAAAAATACTTCAAACAAAAGCAACTGGAAGGACATGCGTTTTTAAAACAAATAGTTACTGGAAGTCATTGTGCAACAAAATGGTATTCCAACAGTGAGCGACATTCTCTTTGCAAAATCCCTTCTTGAAAGGGAAAAAAGGAAAACCACCTTCAGAGACGCTGAAAGTGAATCTTCAATTGAATGAAAGGTTGAGAATTGGCGTGCTCACAATCTCATGTTCTCCTTGAAGGGTTGCAAGGAACAGGAGTAAAACATCTCATTTATGTCTATAATCTGGACTGGTACAAGAACTGTGCTGCACTGATTTTTGTTCTTGCTTTACCCCACCAGTAATATTTCCATCTTGGTTAGTCTCTTTTAGAAAGGGGGAGAGTTTAAGTTATATGAGAGTTATAAATTCATAATTCATGTTTCTTTTCTGCTGGTGGTGGTTAAAAACAATCTGCAATAAATTACTGTTTTCGTGTTAAATACAGAAATTTATTCTAAGCTGCATTCATTGGTTAGGTAAATTACGAACATTGGATAATTTAATTAAATCATTTTGCATTTGTGACAACTTTGTGAATAGTGAGGCTTAATTTTAGGCACACTACCCCAGTGGGTAGTGATATTGGTTATGATCCCAGCTGATGGTAACACTGAACAAGTCAGGTCCCAGAACAAAACCTGGCATGGCTGTTAGCCACTGAAACATATTTACAGAAGGCTGAAGATGTTCTTTAACATCAGAACATACACAAAAAAGCTATAGAATTTAGTCAGAAAGATCTTAAAAGAAACATCAAAACAAAGTTTAAATCAGTTTCCCAGCGCTATCTGTTACAGAGACTCAATTCGAGCTCAGGTTTTTAAATTCTTATTTCAGTGATACTTTCTAGTTTCTTTCCTGTGGACCAGGGGACCTTTCTGAGTCCACTGCTCTGAATATTTCATAATTATGATGGTCTAGATTTTTTCAGTTCTAACAACCTGAAGATTCCAAACTTTCCTGGCTTGGAAGCTTCATAGACTAGAAACCACTTCTGCTGAGGTGACGGAGTCCCCTTGAGCTGGACTAAAAACTGTCATTCTTCTACTCAGAGGAAAAGCTGCTCTCCTCTGAATTGAACTTTGGGTTTTTCTGAACTAAAACTTGGAACCTTATGTTCTGAAGTCAAAACTAAACTAGTTGCCTTAATGTGTTTACTTGACTTGTTATAAACTCAACAGTATGAACATTGAATCTGTTAACACCATAGACAGCTGCAACACAGTTGGCTGAAGTTATTTGCATTCTTAGAAATGATGTGTTTAAGGTCACTGTCCAAATGGCTAGACTTTAAAAAAAATCTTAAGACTAAACAAAACCCATCTGTCCCTATTTAGACTTACAACATAAAGTCCAAATTCAAAAATAATGAAAATGTGCACACTTATGACAACATAAATAGGCCCCAAACCTCCTAGTGTTTCTGAATCTCGAGTTTGCAATAAACCACATCAAGGTGCTTGTTCTGGTAGTGACTCTGGCCTCAAATTCATGGATGATGTATCTCACAGAACATTTTCCTTTTAAACTTGCTCCCCATGGTAGAGAAAAAGTGAAATGGTCAGTCTGGCTCCTTACCTGAATGGTGCTGTTCAGATCCTCCACGACGCCTTTATGCAGGAAAATGGAATTGGAATAGTCAGGGATGAAGTCACTGTTCATCACCTCGACTTGGCCTTGTTTCAACACGAGTTGCACCATCAGATTCAGCTGGAACTGTGACTTGATTTCACGCAGACTGCTTACAGTGTGAGATGTAGAAAGAGCACAACTTTAAAATTTGGCAACATCATCATAGGCCATTCCAAAGGTTACCTACTTCAAGGAATCTTCCCCACAAATAAAAAAACCTGTATTTCTATAGCACCTTTCCCAACCTCAGCATATCTCAAAGTGCTTTATAATCAATTAAACATTTTTCTGAAGTTTGGTCACTGTTGTATTATAGGAAACACAGCAATTAATGTTCACATAGCAAGCTCTCGCAGATGCAACATGATAATCACCCAGATATTCTGTTTCAGAGATAGCAGGAACTGCAGATGCTGGAGAATCTGAGATAACAAGGTGTAGAGCTGGATGAACACAGCAGGCCAAGCAGCATCAAAGGAGCAGGAAGGCTGAC